GGAGCTCCCCAAGACACCCAAAGCTCCCTAAGGGGTTATTAGAGCAGCCTGGGCTCTATTTCTCACCCCACATGACTGACAGATTGCATGAAAGGACAAAGCCAGCCCCAGCACAGCTGCAGAGGAATGTTTTACTTTGGCACAGAGGAGAGAGATGAAGTGCGTGTCACGTTTTTCCATTAAATTTTTGCCTGTCGCCACAGCAGAGCCAGATCACATACAGAAGATTGAAAGCCAGTTAGCAGCAGATGGCAAAAAAATAAAAGGTAGTAGTTTCCAAGATACAGAGAGGTCACTGGCAATATTCAGCTCCACATTTGGATGGATGGCACCTATGGGGACAGTTCTAGCAATTAAGGTCTATCCCATTTAACCACACTTTATTTTCCCACATTGCCTTCTCTGCTTCCCTACTCATCCTCAGGAGAGGGAATGCTCATTATTTGGTAGAATATGTGTATCCTTCTTGCACACATTTAGCACTCCACTCAATCCAGTGACTTTCTTTCCTGCAGTTGTGATCTGTGTCTGACAGCTCACAGACAGAGAATGAGGAGAAAGTCCCTGCTCTGAAAAGCTCAGCATCTCAGACTGAATGTGCACCTCAGCTATGCCTTGTTAAACCCCACCATTTTAATTTTTCACCTGTCTTCTCTACTGCCTATTACTCACTTCAGAGAGGTGAAAGGGCAACATATTTGCCAGCAAAACTGTGGCCCTAAGCCAAGCTTATTCTTTGCATGCCATTCCTTTTCCTTTTATGAAAGAAAAATTATTTAGCATCCAAGGCAGTCTCCACTTTTCAGCAGCGCTTGACATCATGGAGGGGTGGTGGGGCCACGGACCAACCCAACATCAGTGCTTCCCTGAAAATCAGGCCAGTCTGTTTTTGTGCTACATACCCACATCCTCCTCAAACAACCCTTTTTCCTACTGACCCTTGAACAAATACCTCTTCCAGGCAAACCCTGTTCTTTCCAGTGACATCCAAATCAGAGTCTGCTGGTATCAAATAAATACACACATGCACATCAGGCTTGCATCTGAGCACAACTCATAAATCTACTCTGACTATTCCCACTGCACATTCCTTTAGCTCAAAATGCAGTTCCACTACCCCTTCCCCAGCCAAATATTCCTAGCTGCCCCTTCACATCAGCATCAGTACCTGGGCTGCTACAGGGCAAGCTGTGTCAGGGAATTGATCAACCTGAAAGCTCATTTCTGGCAAAAAAAGTCACTTCAAAACAGGATGAGCTCGCAGGCAGCTGCCACAACAGCCTGTGGTTACATCCAGGTGCAGAACTGCACTGTCAGGTCTTGTCACCCACAAAAAAAAACACAGCCAGAAGGCATCTCCATGATTCAGAGAGAGATGAATAGGGAGCAACAGCACAAAAGAATGTGCCCTCCTGAAAACACAGCCTAAGAGCTCTGCTGTTAAAGCACCCTTCAGGGACCCACCAGGAACCTGTTTCTCTTGGAAAAAGGGCAAGATGCTCTAGGGAATCAGAGGAGTTAAAGGGGGGACATTGTAAGCTCAGGTTGGCAGCCAAGACAGCCTGTGACAAATGCCACCAGGCCAGGTCAGACACTCTGTGTCTGACAGCAGTTTCACCTATCAGTAACTGCTAATCTCACCCACAAAATGATCCTTCCCCAGAAGTGAGAGAAGCAGCCAAAGACAGAGGATACAGAGATGATGGATGGTTAAACCAAGTATTGTGAAGAGACTGGAAAACAGCTTTTGGGAATGCAGGGAGGAAGGTGTGCAGACAGAAACGTCTGATAACCAACATTTGGATACAAAAATGCAGCACCTGTCTGCAAGTGCAAAGCCAGCAGTAAAACTGGCTTCAGAGACAGGGGCTACTTTCAAAGTGTCCTCAAAGCAACAACCAAGTATCTCAGAGGGACCTTGTAAGCTGAGGGACCAAGAGAAAACGAGCCCACAGTGACACAGAGCTCCCAGCTCTGTGCAGGGAGGAGTAGCCAGCAAGGCGCAGCACACACTGGCCTCCTCTACAGACACAGATAATCCTAAAAATGTGAGACTGCTTCAATAAAAAACTAGTCCCCATCCCATGAGGGGGAAACTCACTCAGCCCTAGCTAAGAAGGGGCTCTTCACATTGCAAACAAAGACCTTCAAAGAGCACAAGTTCCCACCAGCCCCGCAGATAAGCTGAACAGTTCCAGACACAGGAAAGCCCTGTCTGGTAACACCATAAGTGAAATTCCTTCAGCCCTGCTATCGTGCACAACCTGCTCCATGTGTAAGGACTGCCTTTCCAAAGGAAACATTTGCACAGCACAGAGCACAGCAGTCACGTCCATAGGAAAAAGAATAAATACTGGGTTTGTACATTATGCTGGCTCATTCCTATCTACCATGCTTCAAAGTTGGTCCCAGGACAGACTGACATTTTTTCCAGCTCCTGTCTTCACTGCAGATCAAGCATTCACTATACAGTTACAGCCAGCAACTCAATACCTCCATTTTTCTAATATTAACTGTCAGAAAACAGCAGGGTAAAGTTTCAGGGTCTCCTACTTGTGTTTATCTCAGCTTTTAGGGGAACTGTAGATCAGTTAGACCCATTACAAGTAAGTGACATGTCTCTTGGCAAACTGGAATGGCTTTCTTATTTAAATTTGGGAAGAAAACAAGGAGGAGAAATGGTTTTCAGTGCAAGGCACCATGTACAACTAATTTTGCTGTTCAGCAGTTGTGATGTTGACTTTTTTATTGATATGGAAAGTCATCGACAAAATTTAACACTACTGCTTTGTATGAGCTCTGTATACAACTATTTAAAAATCTCACTTTCTCATTTCCCCTCCTCACTGCAATTTTGGAAAAATCTTTACAAGTACTGGCTGTATAAATATTTTACATGAAGCCAGCTGCAGGTGTATAGAGAAGAAAGAATGAGGGATTTCAGCTTTATGGTTTGTGGGCAACAGACCAAACCCCACACGCAAATAAATGAACTCGTTCTCCCCCTACAAAAATGAAACAGAAATTGGATCCAACTATACTGACACCAAAGAGCTACACGCAGCCACCACACAATAAGATACAGCCAGCTCCACATCCACACTCACTGCAGCAACCACAGCTTTCAATTAAATACACACAGGCTGTATGTATTTAAAACCAAGCCCTGCCATCCATTAAAATAACGACTGCCCTGCTCCAAAAGCTCGAGGCACTCCCTGGCAGCTGATCCAGAAGCAGCTTTCCTGCAGAAGTCATTAGACACACGAAGCAGCAGCAGCCATCGTTTCTGTGGCAGAGGAAATGAGTCACCAGGCGAGCTCTGATGAGGTTCAGGGGTTTGTGATGGGGAGGAAAGGCCAGCTCAGAGTTTCCCCAGCTCATCTTAGATGGCAATCACAACCCTGACCATTAACCTTCACCTCTGGCTTTGCTTTCACAGGGAGACAGAAACTTGGTAGCTGCAGCCTGGGAAGCCTCCTCCTCTCATTCCAGCCCACACTGCACCCCTGAGCCGGGGCTGAGCTGCCCACAGCATCCCCAGTGACATGGAAACAGGATCACAGGGCTCAGACACCTCCCAGGCAACAGCAGCAGCAATGTGACATCTCACTAACTTCAATGCAACGTGACATCTCACTAATTTCAACGCTTTCATGAGTTCCAAGTTCAACAGGCAGGCTCTTTACCAAATAACCCATTTGGGCCACTTGGCACTTGAAGTTACCTTCCAGTTAACCACTCGACCAAACACCCAGGACATGACATCTAGGAATTTAGTCGTAAATATCTGAGCCAGCTGCTGTGCCCCCATACCTGTAGGGGGGAACACTTCTACATGTGCCGTGCCATGCCATGATCACATCCATGCTTGCATTCTGCTGCATTTTGCCACCATCTGGAAGCAGCAGCCCATGGGTTAAAATAGCCATGAAAAGGGGGGAGGGGGGAAATAAAGCTGCCTCCTCAATATTACATAAGGAGGTTTTAAATGTCCAAGAACCACCTGCCTTTCAGCTCCCATCCAGCCATGGGACAGGTAGCTGGCATTTCATGGCGTCTCTCAGACTTATCCATCTGCATCAGATGTGGCACTTGTCACAGAAGACAGGGTCCCAGCTGGGCCATGTCCAACCACATGGACAGTCAAATCCAGGGGAGCCCCAGCAGAGATCTCCCACTCCAGGCCCATCTGTGTGCTACGGAAAGTAACAGCAGCAGCAAGAAGCTGGAGGTTTTGCCACCTGGCCACACTGCTGCTCCCCTTGGGCAGTGGCAGCTGTTGTGTTTCCCTTCTGTTCAACCACCACAAAAAAGCACAAAATAACAATAACACTAATAATAATAATAACAACAACACTGCCTTGCACAGTGCCAGCACATGGTACTACCAACACAGTCACAACAAGCTGGAGCACAGCTGAAGATTATATAATGCAGACATGTGACACATACCATGAACACGCCTCTGGGAAACCTTTCAGCCTTTGCTTCCATGGGAAACCACTCTGGAAAAATAACTGCTATAAAGCTATCTGGCAGCCAGGTGAGGACTTTAATGAGACTTTAACCTCCAGGTCTGCTGCCTGCCAATAGCAGAGCTGAGCTCCTGGAGGCCCCACTTTCTCCAGGTACAGCTGATGGTATCACTGACAGCACCAGTGGGGTGAGCGAAGGGCTCCTCACACAGCTCCAGGCACTGGTGAAATCATCAGCTGTTAAAGAGAAATGTAAATCCCCAGGAGGTTGGATTTCAGCCCTGGTAATTAAGGCAGGCTGGAACAGTTTAAAATAGAGGTCAAGTTTTTAAGTGTATGCATACTTTCACACTTGTCTGCTAGCGTCAAATCAACAAGAGCCAGGGGCAGCCTTTTTGGTCATAGAAAGGTTAAATTTCAACTCAAAACACACAAAAGGCAGTTGGCACAAAATTCTCACCCTCACCAGAGACTGTGCACACTGGTGGAATGACACTGACCCTTCTTCCTGCTGGTGAGCTCTCCCCTCAATCATCATCATCCCTGCCACTCTAGCTCCCAGGGCTGCCCTGACTGTCCCAGAGACTTTCCCCAAGTTTTCTTGGATGCAGACCTACACATGCAGCTAAGGGGCACCTGAGGAGGGTGTGAGGAGCAGAAGATGCTCTAGAACCCATGTTCCTTGGCTGTAAGGCTGACAGCCAGCACAGGGGGCACGGGAAGGGTCTCCTCATCATCCCAGTCTTTCCAGAAAAACCCTGCAGCAAGTTTGCAAACAGCAGAATAACGGGGTCAAACCAGTCCTCCCAGAAAGCACAGCCCAGGAGAAGAACAGATGTTTCATCCAGTGAGCTTGTTTATTTGTTTTGGGTTTTTCAAATGATTCTGTGAAGTTTTGGCCAGAGGTAAATAGAGATCTTGTGTTTCATGGTATTCTCGTCCACATGGCAGGGCACATTCACAAAAGAAAAAGTTCAACAGGCACAAGTGTGTTGAACTCTTTAGAGTTTTTTCACTCTAAAGAATGTTAATTTCATAAATATTCTTTTCATAAACATTCTTTTCTTCTTTAAAGATTGCAATACCTCACTACACCTACTTTATAGCATTTAGTTGGGCTTTTTTTTTTTCCTGAAACTTCTTTCAGAAGAATTCCAAGAACGACCAAAAAAAGAAACTGATTAAATGCTTTTTATTTGGTTTCAAGAGGGTCTCTGAAGAAATCTTAAACTTCTAGAAAGACCCAATCAGCAAGACAGCAAACACAAACAAATCAATCTCAGTGTTACTCCCAATATTTTGCAGATTCACCTACATAATGCCCCTTACAAAATGCTCAACATCATAGCATTCAAAGCTGAAAATCCCCAATAAAACTTGAAAACAGAAAAGGAAAAAGCATCCCATTTCCAATCACCAGACAAACAGGATGTTTTCTTTATCAAGACACACTTAATTCTCAGGCTCCTTGAAATAGGGCAGAAAAGACATATCCATGCCACTGCAGTCACAATTTCTAGCCCAAGTGTAAGATCTCCTTCAAAGCACTAATTAAAGAAGACATGAGAGCACTGAGTAAGAACACAAAAGTTAAGAGTGGCAACTCCATTCTCATCACAAGGATCCAGACAGAGCAAGAGGAAGTATGCCAATACAAGTATAAAATCTGAAGAGAAACACTCTCCAAAGAGCCTCTCATGTCATTCACAACATTCTTGTTGATAAGGAAAAAAACCCACAAGAAAACAGCTGTTTGAAGGAAGAGCTTTCTATTTCTAAGTGCTCCTGCTGGCTCTTTTAAAAGCCCAAGCCACCATAACAGGATTGCCTTTCCCCCAATCTACCAGAAGACACACATTGCGCAAGAAAGCCCAAGACTTTCAAAGACAAAGAAGCCAAACACTGTTTAAAGACCCGTCAGGCATGCAGCAGGCTCGCTTCCTGCTGAGACGAGGCTTGGAGCTTGAGACGGACACGATCCCGGATCAGCCACACATCATAAATAAGATTTTCCTTGTTTGCCTTACACGACCAACGCCAAGATCAGCACGGGGCAGTGCTGCGGGATCCCCGCGGCTCCCATGGAGGGAGAGCCGGGTGCCTCGCTCGGGGCTGCGTTTGCACATCGCCCTCTTGGGATAATGGAAGAGACGCGGAGCCCGCGGCAGCCCCTGCCAGGCGCCATCCCCGGGGCACTGCCACATCCCTGTGGATGTCGCCACCTCCGTGTCCCTCTGGATCCCCATCCCAGCACATGCCCGACAGCCACACCGAGCGTGCGGGGGAGAATTCCGTGCCGCTGTCCCGGGGTGCTCCGGTGCTCACTTCCACTCGGGATTTGCACCGACAGAGGTTTTAAATCGCTGTGCTTGCGAGAATTCTCCTGAGTAACAGCGAGCCAACACACACATTTCCTCGGAACTACCCTAGCTATGCGTTTTACGCAAGCCAAAATATGGGGATTCCAGCCAAAAAAACAAACAACAAAAACATCGAAACTTGTGTCATTTCCTTCCTGCGCTCGGGAAGCGGGATGGAGCCAGGACAGTTTGGTCCTGGAGGAGAAGACACGACCGGCGGTTCCTGAGCGGCCGCCCGGGAGAAGCGGCAACGCCGAGGGAGCCTCGGGACCCCGGTAAGCGGGAGCCAGGCCCGGAGGGGAGGGAGCTGAGACCCCCGCGGCGCACAGGGGACTCCGAGGCCTGTCCGGGAGTGCAGTCACGGCGAGGGGCGCGGGGAGCACCTGTTGGCCAGACCCGCCCGGTGCCGACCCTGGCGCCCGCCGGGCACGCACGGGGAGCCCGAGGAACCCCGCCACGGCCCTAGGAACGTGTCCCAGCCACCCCACCCCCGGCCTCCCGGCGCCGCCGCCCGCCCCCGCCGCTGCCCGCCCCCGCCGCTCCTTACCGTGCGGCTCAGCAGCGTCTCGGGGTCCGCGGGCTCGCACAGCTCGCTCAGCTTGCGGTCCCAGTGCAGCAGCGGCGGCTGCTCCCCGCCGCTCTCGCACACCTCCATGGCGGCCGCAGACACCCGCGCCGGCCCGTCGGTCTGTCTGTCGGTCCGTCTGTCTGTCGGTCCGGACGCTGCCCCCGCCGCTGCCCCGGGCCGCGGAGCCGCGCGCTCGCCCCCGCCCCGGCGCGTCCCCTCCGCCGGCGGCCGCGCGCGGGCGTGGCCGGGCGAGTCACCTCCGCCACGCCCCAGCCGCCTCGCCCGCCAATCGGGGGCGAGCAGCGCCGGGCGCCGGCCAATGGGCGCACGGGTCTACGAGCGGCCGCGGCCGCGAACATAGGCGTGGCGCGTCCGACCAATGGCGCGGCGGAGCGGCGGGAGCGGAGGCCAATGAGACAGCGACAAGACTGCGGCCGGAGCGCGACGCCCCGCCCCTCCCCGGGCCGGGCCGCCCTCAGGGAGGGACCCGCGGGGGCACCGGGACAGCGGGGCCCGGAGAGAGGGGACGGGACCGGGACGGGACAGGGCTGGGCTGCCCGTTCGGTGAGCACAGGTCTGAACGCACCTTCTGATAACCACAACTCCACAGCTCTGGGCAGCCGCGCCGAGGCCGCTGGTGCCTGCCTCAGACCGGTCCCTGAGCGCTCATTAACCGGCGGCAAAAATAATCCCAGGCAAGGGGAAATTGTGGTATTTTGAGACTTGTGTTGCTGCCAAGCCGGGACAAGATTGACAGTCCATTGTTCTTAAAAAGTGGCAAGCTGCCAAATATTTCGGGTTCAAAAAGCTGGGCATTGCTCAGGGCTTGACTGAGAAGGACAAGAACTGGAACAGAATTCAGAGGAACAGAACTGGAATTCCTGGCGTGTTCCCGCTCTCCCAGCGCTCCCCTGGGACATCACCTCTGTTGGCAGCTACTTCAGCCCACTCACAGAGGCAGCACCTCATCCAGCCCGCGCTCTGCAGAGCCCAGAATAGCCCTCTGAGGAAAACAAAGCCAGAAGGATTGCCCAGCACTTAATAGGCACAACAGCAACAAAAATAGGAACAATTATGGTGACTCTGCCAGGTTTGTAGCTTTAAAGTTTATTAAACTGCTGGAGTTTGATTAGGGGAATAAGCAGTGTAAGAGAAGTTGCACTATCTAAGATCACCTGCAAAAATTAGTTATTTTAAGTTTCACAATAAGTGAAAGAAGTCAGTCTGATATTTGCCTTCAGCAGCAAAGAAAAGCCAAATTACCTGAATTGCTACCTTCCCCTTTGGCAAGCCCAACCAGAGGTACAAACTTCTTGTTTGTACTGCCAGGCACTGTTATCAAAGCAATTCCATTGTGCCAGGCCAGAGATGCAGATTGTGAAATTTGTAAAGGTCAGTTCCTGGTCCAGGAGCCTCCGTGTTTTCATTGGATGTGTTCTTCCTTTCAAAGCTTTTGAGGCCTTGTGATAATCCCTTTAATAAAAGGCTCTCCAGCGTCCTGCTGGCTGACATTAGCACCTTCTAAAATCACTTCTATGACTAGATAATTTTTTGGGGTTGGGGCATTAATGAGTGTTTTGCCCATATGGGAAGTCTAAAGGGAGACCCACGTTTGCCTTGTAAAGCAACAGAGTGAAGTCCCCCTTAGAGGAAGGTGGTCCTGACTGGGTGAGTGCAGCTTCCTTTGCTGAGCATGATGAGAACGAGGGTCTCCCAAGGACTGGTGTTTGAGTACTGGGCTGAACTTTCTCACCCTAACACATTTCTCAGGCAGAAATATTTATTTAAGGAAGAAGTTGCACAGGCACACACTCCTGTCCTTCCCCCTTGGGTAAATCCCTCACACAAACTGAGGCACCCTGGGTAAACAGCATGCTGCTTTTCCCAGGGGTTTCCACTCTTCCTGCACCATGTAAAGCTGTGTCCCTCTTCCCTCTGCTCTTCCCCAGGAGCTCTCTCTCTATCATTGGTACTGAGGCACAGCTGCTGCTGTGAGATACAGAGCTGCTGAGAATTCATAAGTGTGCTGCAAGACTTCTTTGGCCACTGAAATATTTTGACACACAAAACTAGCCATTTCTGGGGCTATAATATAAATATAAAACATGATATTGCTAACTGGGCATCCTGCCCAGTCACTGACACATTATTAAAATTAATCTTCAAGGCTGTATGTAAAATTTAAGCTTCAACACGCCTGAAACAATGACCCAAGACTGTGTAAGGAAATGTGACCAATTTGCTGTGGCAGCCAACAGCACAGAGACCACACTGATGTGATTGTGCTGCAGCACCAGCTCTTCTTAGGAAAGGACATCTGAAATAGCAAGGTTCTGCTGGAGGCTGGCAGCACACACAGGGCACCAAGAAGGAAGAGACAAAAGTGGAGGAAAGTAATCCTTTCCAGAGAATATTAATTATTCAGTGTGCTGATACAACACAGTGTGTCACATGCTGCTGCCCACAGACTGACACTACACCAGCAGTCAGGCACTGGGGAAAGCACCTTCAAACCTACAAGAACATGATACAGACACAGCTATCCTAACTTTATCCCATCCTCCCTGCAGGACTTGAATGGTGGATTCCAACAGTTACCAGCCTGCTGAAAATCCAGGCTGTTTCTCCATGCTACATTACTTTTCTCTTAGAAAAGCTATAATAGTACTATTGAGTTCCAGCTCACGTAACTCTGAGAGCATTTTTAATTTCTTTGTTTGTGTAAGACCCTTTCCTCACTCCACTCTTCTGAAGTGGGTTTGTACTCACCCCACAGCACAGAAGGAGAGTGCAAAAATTGACCAAAAATCTACAAGAACATAAAAGGGTGGGGAGCTATTGTCTGCACATATAGGAAAGACAAGAGCTCAGCTTTTGTTTAGTGAGAATTCTGCTCCCTTTCTACAAGGAGCAGAAAGCCCACACAGAAACAACACAGAAAACCAAACCAGCTAAGAAAGAGGAGGCTGCTAAGGCAGAGCTTCAAACAAACACCACTTAAAACATCAAAGAACAAAGCAAGGAAAAATACAAAGCTGGCAAAGGAAAGGTGCTCTCCTTGCAGATCCGGGTTACAGAAGCCACAACTCCTGCAAACCACATCATTACTCAGTTCTTGATCAGGTCAGCTGCACAAAGGTTCATTAAATATTTACAGGTGACATTTTTCTGACTTGTGACAACCAGGATCAAGATAACCATCCATTTTCTACAGCCTCTCTGTTCAAATCAGTTTGAGAAGCCAACCAGCAAGAAAAGAGCAAACAGCAACAGAGCCCACAGGATGAAAACTGCCAGGTTTGTGACCAGCTACCCTTAAAAATCTTACCCCTTGAAAGCAACAGAAAACAGCCACAGCTAGAGATTTCTTCAACAGACTCAGCACCTCTTAAAGAGTGCAGGACACAAATTTCAGGTCTAAGAAGACAAAGAATAAACCAGCAGCCAATTTCTAATCACAGAAGTTACTGGAGATTTTTGTGACATGGTAATGAGCTGAATTTTTTACGTGGGACTAAGCAACAAGCAGAAGAAAAATCTCACACACACTGACACACGTTCCCTACATGAGGATATCTCAGGAGAAACCCTGTGAAAGTTATTTCTTTGTGTATTGTGCAAAGATTTTACTTGCACTAACAAAGCAAATTTCTTGTGTAAATGAGATTTAAATCACACTGCTGTGCTGAGAAGCTCAGCACTGCCAAGATAAACAGACACCAAGCCTTAGTTTGTACATTTAGACACGTTCAACTACTTGGCAAAAAGGCTTCCACCACAGAAATTTCATAGTTAAAAATAGAAGGTGAGCTTGAGAATAGTAAAGTTTTCTTCCCACAATCCTGGCATTTCATTCCTTTTCTGACACATGAAAAAGTGGGATAGCCAGCCCTGCAGACAGCCTGTTACTAAACCCACATAATCGGTACACTGACAGAAATACAGGCTCCCTTTACCAGAATCTTCCTTGCTGTTGTGCCCAGGGGTTTCTCTAAGCTCCAATTCAGCTTTCCTGCCTTCGCAATCCCTGCCCCTCTGCAGGGGCTTTGACCAGGCCCCCACAGGCACTGCTGGCATTGAACTGAAGTGTGAGCTGTGTTTGGGAACACAGACAGACAGACACAGTGCCCCCCAACACACAGAACACACAGGAGGAGAACAAGAGAGCTATTTTGGTGAAGTGGGACTTGATTTCTTTGGCTGAAGCATCTTCTCCTACTTCTTCAAGCCACCTGATTTCTGTGGGCAGAGCAATTACTGCAGAGTAATGAGAAATAAAGTTGAAAGGGTTCTTTGCTGTGTGACACAGGCACAATAATGTGGTTTCTTCCTCCAACCAGCCACAAAAACAAGCAGAGAACAGAGGGTTTCCTACACCTTACAGCAGGCTGACAGAAATATCTGAGTGCCATGGAGTTGCCTTGCAGACCAGAATAGCTCTGCCTCAGAGCTGCTCAGAAATGCTCTAAATACTTGGTGAACATGCTGACATTTTAAAAAGAAGTCACCCATATTTATCTTTTGTAATTATCTCCATAAATACATAAAATAAATTCCTTGTTAAGGTCAAACACTTCTAAATATCCTGGTTGATGCAAGCAGCCAGGGTTTGCCTCATCAGGTTTACACAAGATGCTAACACTGACAAGAAAAAGCAGAATACCATTTTCCGGGGCACACTGTGGGAAAACACTCATTGCCTAGTTACAAACCAGGAATCACTGTATTTCACTCAGGCGATACCATTCCCATCCCATTTCCTCACAGAACAAATACCTATCCATAAAAAAAAAAAACCTGAAACCAACCAGATGCTATAGGAACGCTGATTTCACACGGGATTTTCTCACAAGTGAAATGACTTAGTTACAGATTAACTTTGCCCCAGAGTGGCAGAGCAGACACAAGATGAACAGCAAGCCTTTGCCACTGGTTATTTTTGCTGTAACTAGGGCAGTGCAGAATCATTTGGGAAGGCCTGCCCTACTGCCAAGCTGTGCTGAACATTCAGCACACTGCCTCCAGTGTGTGCTCAAAGCCAGTGTGTGTTCCTTGTAGCAGGGCAATCTTTAAAGTGTACTAGCTACTTTAAATAGAACTGGAAGGGCAAGAAAACTCTGAGTTCTTGAGTAAATATTTTTCCTTGCTGGCACCTAATCCTAATACCTTGTGCTAGCTCTGCTGTCTCCAGCTTGAGCCAGGGGCAGAGATAGCAGGAGCCATTCAGCAGCTGCAGAGTTCTGGCAGTTCTGGCCACTCCATTGTGTGGTGAAGGGAATCCTTGCTGCCCTTTCTGCTCTGAGCCTGGAGGAGAAAGGCAGCTCCCAGACACCAAAACAGGCACTGCCCTGAGCTCCACCACCACAGCAGAGTGCAAATGGAGTGACCACTGAGTGAACAGAAGCTCAGCACATCTGCTCAAGGCCTCCTAGCACAAAGCTCAAGACAAACAGGAAAAAATTGTGCACAAACTGCTTGGATCACTACTGTGCAAAAGCACCATCACAATTCTCACAGCAGTGCAACAGGCTCAGATTGAACAAGTAGTTAAAGGAATTAAAGTCAGGACTTTCTATTTAAAAAGACATTCTCCTATGGATAACAACCCAGTGAAGTAGCTAAGCCTTTGCAATACATCTGACACCCCACTATGCCAGTGACAGGGGCTTGGATGCTTGTCAGAGCTTTAGCACCAACCAGAAATAGATGCTGATTTGAAAGAATTGAAGTTTTTGTTAGAAAATGTGCACAGGGCATTAAAAAAACCCCAGTATTTTGTAGGGGAAAGAGCTGCAGACAATGTGTTCTGCACTGGGATCAGAGAGAGATGAGATACAAAATCCCACCAGCTCTGAAGGCAGGAAATTGTCACTTCTATTAATTTTTCTTTCTTCCCTGTTCCAACACGTTGTATTACAGTGGCAATTTCCCTTTCTCTTTTTTGTGTAGTAGAATTAAACACCTTTTAGTTGAGCACCTTCTTGCCAATAACACAGTAACTCTCACTGCGACAACAAAAACGCAGTGACACAAGGGCCACTCCCACACCACGAATCCCGGACCCGGAATGTTTTTCGTGTTTTCCACGCGAATCCCGAAGGCAGAGCCAAGGCAGCCGCTCCTCCAGCTCCTCCTGATGGCAAAGCACGGGCACAGCACCCTATCGAGGGACAGGATGGGAATGCTGATGTCATCCTACAGCAAACACCACAACAAACAAGACCTAAGCAGGGTTTGGAGACAGACAATGCCTATGATCAGCAGAGGGGCAGATGCAAATGCACAGGAAGCCTTTTCCGGGTCTGTGACAGAAATCAGCTGAGCACTAATCAAAGCCAATGGTTCTGCTTTCAACTCACTGTCCAGCTGGCTTAGAGAAGGAAAAACAGGGAATGACACCTACAGAACAGAGGGATGTCAAAAGTGAGAGGGGATCAGGCTGGCAGGCCCTGCAAGACAGGAGGGAGATTAGGGCAGACAAGGACAGAAGGTTTGAAATTGGCTGGATGCAAAGAGTGACTCCCCATTTATATATTCATCAGCTCAAGAACTGATACAGATGCCTATTACAGCGACTTTAGACGGTCACTGTGGTGAGAGAAGGACAAGAATCTTGTTCTTTGATCAGAAGGCTTGATTTATTGATATATATGATACATTATAACTATACTAAAAAGAATAAAGAGTGAGCTTGCAGAGACAGCTAAGCTAAGAATAGAATAGAAGGAATCTAAAAACAAGAGAGTTCTCTGTCTTTGTGTTCTAGAGAGCTTGCTCTGTGATTAGCTCTTAATTGTACACATAGAACATGAACTAATCTTAGGTGCATCTTATTGCATTCCACAGCAGCTGATAATCATTGTTTACATTCTCTTTCTAGGGCCTCAGCTTCCTAGAAAATGAACAAGTCTCAAAGAAAAGATTTCTATAAAGAAATGTCTGCGACAGATGCCTAGGGTACTTCTCCTTTTAAGAAGAAAAAAAAGAAAGTAATCCAAAAGATCATAACAGAGAGAAAGCACATGGGAGGACAAACCACACACAAGTACCCTCTAGGTAACAAACATTTTATTTATTTCTTAAAGAAACTACAGCAATATAAGCGACTACAGAATTATGAAGCACAGAAAAACCAAAGGAATGAAATGGCCTGGATCCAAGCACTAAGGACATCACACCTTTTCTCTCACCGAGCCATCACTCAGAAAAATCACATTATCTGAAAAGAAATTTAAAAAAATTAATCTTGAAAATTGTTTTGCCTTGTTGCATGCCTTCACACCATAAAGCCCAGGTATTTGTGTTAAAATAATTTGCTAAGATGTGGATTTTGGAACAGAATAATAGTTAATAAAATAAAACAGTGTCAAATAAAAGGTTCCTTCTCTACCTCCCCTAAAAGCAGACAATTCAAGGTGGCCACATGTACTATGAAACAAGAGTGCTAAAGCTGATGAAAAGCTGCTGAACAGTGAAAGACTAAAAACATTTTTAAATAATGGTTTAATTCTTTGACTATAATCTCCATCAGTTACAGCTTATTTCCCTTTCCGTTTGTCATGTTCACTCTGCACTACATACTATACAATATACCATGTCAACAGCCTGCAGGACTATGGGAAGCTCCTACTTCATCAAGGAATTTCTAAAGTCTTGAGACTGGGCCTCTCGAACAAGAAACCATTAGGAGAATACTAATTAAAAAAGAGGAATTGCTTCTCCCTTCCAGTAATTTATAGCACTGCTAGCTTTTAAAGAGGCTGCAGAAAAACATCCAGGAATATGACTGTTACATGACTGTTGTTTTTCCTTTTTTTTTCCCCTGTTCTATTTTTTTAGACATACTTGTGTAACAGAAATGTTTGTTCTACTACCCAATTAATTTATCCCTCATTCAAAAGCAACACAGGAGCAGCTCTATCCACAATAAAGATGCTGCAGGATGCTCTAGCTATTTAAAGGCTGAAGGAAGAAGTTGAGTTTCCTAGTTTTCTTTGTTGTGTGTCAAGGCACAAGTCCACTCCTTATCCATTCTGTGGGATATGCCAGTGACACCAACAGTTTGCAACTGGATACTCTCATTTTCTGTGTGTTCACAAGCAGTGCCAGAGGAAATCTGCTGGTACACACTATCCATTCTCTCTAAATCCCTGAGTGTGGATACTGAGAATGAAGACAAACCAAGCTTCATTTCAGAGGTTCTCCACCCTCTTTTCATTTTAAAAGAGCAAAAGGCACCTTGGTGCTTCGCTCCTTACCTGCTATAATTGTTGTGGCCTGTCGCCTCACATTGTTCTTATCTGTGTATTCACCATAATCTATCTTTCCTTCAACAAAGATCCGAGAGCTGAAAAAAACAAGAATTTTATTTTGGTGAGAGAGCTGCTGTTTTCCACTCTGTAATCCATTTGGGATTGAATTTAAAATGGGATCCTAAAAACCACACGTTCCAAACCCCTGGCCACGGGCAGGAATACCATCCACTAGATCAGGCTGCTCAAACCCCATCCAGCCTGACTTTGAACACTTCCAGGGATGGGGCATCCACAGCTTCTCTGGGCAACCTGTGCCAGGGCCTCACCACCTTGACAGTAAGATTGAATATATGGATGTAAACCTAAGTTTCCTCTCTTCCACTTGGAGCCCATGACTATTTGTCTGATCATTACACTTCCTGATGAAAAGGCTGAATTCAGAATCTGATTCAAAGTACACAGGCTTTTGTATCAGTTGTTTGCAGCTGCTCTGCTAACTTGTTTTGTACCACCTGTATCTTATTACAGTTCCTGGTCACCATAATTATTACATTAATGCATTATTAAGGCGTTAAATCCTCACCCACATTCGTTATTCACTTACCCCTTCCTCACATACTGATAGGTGACATCCCTGAGGCCGGGTCTGAAGACAGAGATCCTGTGCCATGTCGTCTTCTGACTGACATCACCTAAGGTACACAAAAGTAACAGAGCTGGATGCCAAATCCTCTTTGTGATACAAAACTCAGAAATTAGTTTCAACACATCAGTATTCTCAAATTATGAGAAGTGATTTGAAAACAGAAGTTTACTAGCATGCTATCTCCCACTTCACTCCAGAACTAGATGTTCCAGTCGCCTGTATCCAAACAAATTCTTGTGCAGAAGCACAGTTCAAACCAAGACATTGCTTTTTCTGTAAGACAGTGCTCATGCTATTAATTTTTCCCCATCAGTGAGACACACACAAATGCCCCAGCATCTCTGCCGAGCTCAAAGGAACCTTCCTGCACCCCAGATTTGCCAGTGTGCAAATGACCTGGGACACGTTGTGCAGACTCACCTCCCTGGCCCACTTCACTATCTCCTGTCCGCCACATCTCATTGGTTGCAAGGGAAAATATGGTAACAGGATTTTTTCCTTCCACTTGCCTCATGATAGGGTCCTGTCCAACCCGACCGAGCAGCTGAACACGATTCATGGCTGAAACAAGAGAGAGCAAACACACAGGTGAATTATGATGATTCTAAACATGGCAAGCCCTCAGTCAGCAGCTTTTCTCAAGGGCCAGGATTACAACTTTGTGCACTTCCTGAGCACTTTTTAAACTCTTGTGACATTTGGCTTTTTCAGGCCCCAGCAGATGGTTGACTGTGTCTGTACTGTCATTACCACTGTGAACTAACTGATTTAAAAAGCCAAAGGTCCCTTATTCTTGCTGTTCCATCTCTTTCACATCCATATATCACTTGAGACTAAACTGCATTGATGTGACTTTTGTTTCATACCAACAAAACACAGTGCACAGCAGTACCTTTGAAACAAAGTTGCATTGCTGCACTCCATCCTCTGAATGAGAGTCAGTTTTTACACCATTACCAGGCCTAGGCAAACACAATCTATCCTTTCCTTCTCCATGTTCAAGGACAACTGGAAGAGGTCGGGGAAGTATCACTCGTGCACAATGAGCATGTGAAGTGAACAGTGAAGGCTGAAGTACACCTGCAGCAAACCCTGCTGGGGCAGCAGCACACACACAAGGGCCCCGGGACCCAGGAGTGTGAGAAACAAGCACACAAGACACCTGAATGCAGCTTCAGAAACCATGCCAACAGCAGAGCCAAACCACTGCCACAGATAAAGCACAACTTTTTGGGCTATAGAGTGACAGTCTTGGTCAGGGCTTTCTTCTTCCCCCGCTAAAGTGCTGCTTCAGCTGACAGAGACCAGGCAGGAACCCACTCAAGAGTCTCTGTGCTTGAAACAACACATCCTTAGGTGCTACACTGAGGAGCCACCATTCCTACGGCTTCTCTCCTGCCCTATTTCAGGTGTCCTAAAACAGAGGCAAACACCATGACTAACAACTAAATTGCATCTCAGGGGTACTTACATCTCTCAAGCACCAGTGAGTTAACCGTGTCAGAGTCATGTCTTACAAACTGGCGTAGCACCTGAAGGAACAGAGAAATGTGAGTTTCCAAGACACAAACCAGGAACAGCATTCACAAGCCTTCACATCTCATTTTCTGAGCACTTGCAGAGGCTCTGCAATTATGTTCTTTGCCAGGTAACTAATGGGGGACCTGGGGAAAGAGATCTGTTCAGCCAAATGAAGCTAGTAAGATTACTTAAAGAACATCTGGTTAAATCAAAGTTAAAGAGTGCCTAGAAAGAAGCATGGCCCAAAAGTACACCTCCAGCAGTTATTTTTGGTACATGGGGTAACTACTGCTTTTCTATAATACGTAAATAAGAGGGGAGGAGGTTTGTAGCAGAGTGAGGGTTTAGTTGTTTGAGTTTTAGCCTTTAGAAACAAACAGGTCTGAGTTCTGCTCCATTTCAGAGATTAACCAGGTGTGCCCAAAAAGTACATCCATCCACTGGAACGAGCAGTGGATGCACTGACATCCTTGTTCCCAAGGCAAGTCGAAGACAAAACTCTCAGTACCGTAAGTGGGAAAGCTGTACTGGAACTGCAAATATTCCATCCTAGAAGAAAGGAGGGGGAAAAAAGCCTAGAAGCACGTCTGCTAGAGATCCACGTGCAGGAACTGGAAAAAGGGCTCATTTCCTCGAGCAGGCGGTTCCAGAGCTCACACTGTTTCTCCCCAAGGGTAGACCCAGCGCCGGGGTCCCGGCCCAGCGGGCACGGCCGGCCGAGAGCTCAGGGCGCTGGGCTCCGTCCGCCCCTCCCCTTCCCCCTTCCCGGAGCGCTGTTCCGTGTCCGGAGAGCCGCTCCAGGGGCCGCAGCCGCCGCTCCCCCGCCGCCCCGAGCGCACCGGACCCGCACGGCCCTACCTGCCACGCCGGTCGCCGCCACATGCTGCCGCCGGGCCCGCACCTGGAGGGAAAAGCAGGGCTGAAGCAGCGCCCCACAGAGCCCCGACCCCGCGCCGCCGCGCTGCGCCCCGGCCGCCGGAACAGGAAAGGGCCGGGCTGCGGGTTCCGGGCGGAAACGCCTCGGAGCCGGGCAGCGCCTGCAGCCCCGGCCCCCGGGGACCCCGAGCAGCGCCTGCAGCCCCGGCCGCCGGGCGACCCCGAGGTCGCAGAGGGGGAAAAAAAATAGTAACCAACAAAATTGCATCACTCCATCATCGGTTAAAAAATGATAAAAGCTTTATTCGCACGGAACGATAGGATCGAACAGTTAAAAGCCAGCGTGTGCAACATCGTCAAACAAACCAGTAGAAGCTGGAAATGAGCGAGTTACCAAGCGCTCCCTTCATAGCAGCGCAGCGCTCTGTCCAACACAAACAAGCGACAAGGACCCCCAGAGTTACATTTAGCGGGGAGAGGGGGAAGCGTGTGTGAGATCTCAAAGACGAAATGCATACAACCATCAACATGGGCAGCTCCAAAAAGCTGGAAAAGCTCTTTCTAATTGCCCCCATCTTTGCTGAAAGGCCACAGTTCACAGGCAGGCAGCTGCAGCACCTGCGAGGTACTGGGCAGGAATTGGGTACAGACAGACCCAGCTACCAACAC